GAGGCTAGCCAGTAGTCCCCTCCAGGCACAAGTGGCGAGGGGCATTTTGTCACACAGCAACAATTAACTCTACTAAGATATGTCTGTATCTATTTTGTGTAAGTATTGAGCAAGTAGCTCGCAAGGTACATATACCATATTATTACGCTGTATTATTGAGAGGCTAAAATTCTGTACCTTTCACTACAAACTTTCCTCTTCCACTCTACCTATGGTATATTTATGATACATTTACACAGTAGACATTGTCCTGTTCAACTGCTTTATCGACCTGTACTCATATGTAGGTCTTACAATTATGTGTTTTATATTCCTCTATTTATCTCTTTCTCTTATTTCTAACCCTTTAACACCTTAGCGAGTCTCTCCCTTTATTTGTCTTTTTTCATCCTATGTCTGTTGATATAAGTTAATATATATAATTTGAGAGACTATATGCCTAAATATACTACTGGGACCAGAAGCAATCGACTTTTCTATGCTTTTACAAATGGCACTAGGTATGGGTAATAAATTTTGGTAAAATCAATAAAGCCGGTTGGTTTACCCTTCACATACATACCTATTGCTAACTTTTAGGGTCTATATAGTTATCCTCCTCCTCGTCTGTGGTTATATGTTGTAAGTCTAATTTTTCAACCAATTATTTTCTTTATTTCTAAGAGGGAATTCTCATTTGAGATTTTCCTATTTTTTGTTTTTTACATTAGTATTAGGGTGCATGCCCAGAGTGGAGGGTAACCACTCGTACTGACCACCCCCGTTTGGATATTCTCCATATAGGGGGTTTCTTTTGACACTTTTACACGGACTATTATGTCGATGTGTTTAATATAATCTATAAACTATTGTCTGTCCCGCACGTACTCTGTTCATACCGTTACGGGGACACACTTTTCGTAGGGCGTCCCTTATCGCCCTGTGTAGCCCAGTAGTAGTGCTATCGGAATCTTTACAGCTAGTGGCTGAAATGGTGCAGGGGCGACCACCGAGCATACTTAGAGTACATTTACAATGCTTCTCAGAGAGTGGGGTAAGAGGACATCACCAATGGTGCTCCACTACACCTATACCTACTGAATACCACAATGCCCTAAAAGCGGGCATTGTTCACGAGTGGTATACAACTGGAGGGATAAGATATTGCCCATAGGTGCAAACTCTATATTGCCCATCCAAGGAGTCAATTATACGAAAGTATGATATGCCCGTAAGGACAAGCTCAACTCTCTTAGGCTAAACCATACAACACCAAAGGAGAAATACCCCCGTAACAAAAACGTATATGTGGGTTAGGGTGCTCTAGCCTCTCCTACCATGCTCCCCCAGGCGGTTAATACGGTGCATGGCCCACCGAGTCCAACATCTTACCGCAGGTCACATTTTCCTCACCGAGAGTGATTTTATATACTTTGTTTATGTTGTGTTGATGTTTGTATTAATTTTTGTTATTGAATTGCCAGTGGACCCTTTTCATTTGATGAAGACAGTGCTCTTGCTCTGGACCTGAAACATTATAAGATTAAATGGCAAAAAAAACACATACCTCTACGATCTCTCTAAGCCAAAAACATCCCAAATACTTCACAACTACAAATTATATGACACATGTGGCGTTGAATGTACCCGTCAACACGTGACTACTATATATTCTTCTCCCCAGTTCATCTAACATACTTGCGTATAGACATGTGCTTAGTCAACAAACCCACACTTCTAAATGTGCCAGAGGTTCAGATAGGCAATCGAGTAAGGTTGGATCACAACCCAATCCGACTCAGGCACGGCTTCTCCAGGAACTTTCCTCATTTAGAAACTCAGAATAAAAATTCCCCATCCCAAAAATTAACCAGAAAACTAACCCAAGTGAAGCACGACCTATATACGCTATCCTTACAAAAAACAGAAAGGCAATTTAGACGCTTAAAGCTTTCATACTATAGCCAAGGGGAAAAAGCCAGTAAATTGCTGGCCAACAGACTAAAGACTAGCTTTATACAAACCAAAATCCCATATATCACCTCTACACAAAGCACAAAGCTGTACAATCCTAACTAGATAGTCGATGAGCTAGCTGATTTCTCCCCTAATCTATATAATTTACATTGTGATCAAGTAACAGAACAACCCACCATGGAGGGCTTAGAGAGGTTACTGGGGGAAGTCACCCTTCTGCAGATTAGTGAACATCAAAGACAAACACTTGATAGTAAGTTCACTGAAGATAAGGTCAGGACTGCTACCCTCTCACTCCCGAAACATAAAGCACTGGGGCCCTGATGGGTTTTCCAACTATTATTTCATTAAATGCGAACCCCTTCTAACCCCTCACCTCACCAAACTTTACAACCACTGTCACTTTTATGACACTTATCTCACTTATTTGTTCATGCATGGTACTTTACTTAGTAACATCAAACTGTCCCTTTGACACTGTTTGGTTCAGACTCTCACATTTTATTAGATTCAATTAAATGTTGGGATAACTTCCAGTTGATTTTAAACTTGTATTCACTCTGCAGGTCCCTTTTGAGACCATAAGACACTGGGGTATTTTAGTTCACTTGTACTTTGCTTGGTCTCCGCGATCACAGGGGCATCTAAACTTACGTCTATCACTTTGTATACATCCAGCACCTAGCAACCACGTTGTACGTTTAGACGCATGCTGGGGAATCACGTGGGTCGCGGTCACACTTCCGGGTTTCGAATGAGCAGTGGCACACAAGATTGGTGAGTTGATATCTTTACATGTATATAAACTTTGCTTATTTCTCAAGTTAGTTGATCTTGAAAAAGACCCTGAGGGGTCGAAACGTTGATTATTTGCACTACAATGTAAATTCTTTATTACAATAAATACACTTTGCTGAAGTCCTTTTGAGTGCTCCATCTCATCGATTCACTTATATATTTTGGACGTTGGAAGCACCTAAGGCAGTTATATTGAATGAATTCAAGGGTGAGTGCCTAAATTATCCTTTTTATTTTTTATATATATATATATATATATATATATATATATATACACACACACACACGCAGAGCCGGCGCTATCTGAGTGCCGGCTCTGCTCTAAGCCTTCATGGGCCGGCGGGGAGACCAAAGATCTACCTCACCGGCCCACAGCAGCATGGAGGGAGGCAGTAGAGGACCCAGGGAGCTCTAGACAGAAGCTCCGCCAGGTTCCTCTCGCGATATCTGAGTGTTGCTGCGGCAACGCTCAGATCTCGCGAGAGTTAACTCTAGCCCCGCAGGCTAGAGTTCACTCTCCACTGGACCACCAGGGATGGCACATGGCAGCAAGGATTTATTAATCTGCCAAATCCCTCCAAACATACAGCACACACACATACAGCACCTACACACATACAACTCACACACACACATTACACTAACCGCACCCTCACAAACACACACAGCACCTTTAAAAAAAACACAACACCCTCACACACAGCACACTAACAGCACCCTCACAAACACACACAAACAGCACCCTCACAAATACACGACACTCACACAAACAGCACCCTCACAGGACAAACATACACACACAAACAGCACAGTCACAAACACACACACACAACACCCTCACATCACACTAACAGCACCCTCACACACACATCACACTAACAGCACACAGCACACTAACAGCACACACAGCAGTGTATGTGTGTGTGTGTATATATCTATATATATATATATATGTACATATATATATATATATATATATAGATACATACACACACACACAGCGTGTGTTTGTGCTTTAGGGTGCACACCCTAATGCAATAGGCTGCGCACGCCTATGCTTTAAGTAGTATGAATATATAGTATCAATTTTACATGATTTTATTAATACAACTCTTAGTGAGAGTCTCCTTACACTTTGGCTCTAAAACTAATTTCCTTTCCTTAGGAAATTGTTTATATTGAGACTTTAGAATAGACATTCACACACGTATACTTTATATTATACACCTGTATCTTTCTCATAGATTTTTATAAAAGGAATGTTGGAATCTCAAAAAGTAAATTCCTTATTTAATATGACCCTGTTTTTTTAGGTCTCCCATTAATGTTTTTTATATATCATATTTATTATTTGGTTTATGCTTAGTTGTACTGTTTCTACACTCATTTATTGATATATGTATAAAATCTTACATATATATATATATATATATATATATATATATATATATATATATATATATATATACACACACATCTATTGTTGTATGTTAATGATGATGGTTATACTTTTTACCTCTTGGAACTTATGTCTTTTTTAGTACTTGACTGTTCTTTGTTTTCTTCTCTTTGTTTTTTCTATTTATGTTGTAGTATTTATTTTTTTATTTATTATTTTTCTTTATTTTAGTTTTTTTATATTTTTTTATTTATATATTTTTTATTTTTTATTTACATGTTTTCATATATATATATATATATATATTTTTTTTCCTTTATTCATTTGTTTTGTGTTTTTTCATTTATTATTTTTTATTATTTGTATTTCTATATTTGAGCATTTTAGTTTGATTTTGTATCAAGTTATTATATTTTACTCTCCTATCTTTGCTCATTCCTTTCTTTATTCTCATCCAACTTTCCCTTTTTCTCTATTGTGTTCTTAGTTCTTTTCATTCTTATTTCATTTTTTGTTTCATCTTTTATTTCGCTGCTTCTGTGCCAGACCCCTAGTATTGGTATCTAGACGTGCCTGTGACCCTTGGATTACAGAATGTGTTAAGTGCTCTTTAATTCTAAGGGCTTCTTCACATAATTCTGCCACGGACGCATGCGCACTACTGTGCCCTGGCCGTTTTTCACACATGCACTGTGAGCACTGTTGAGCGGTGTACACATGCACAGTCTGATAGATTTTCACTCTTCACACATGCACTCTGATTTCGAGCACATTTATTTTTTTTCCAGCCATTATAGGCTTCCGTATAACAGCTTGGGTGTTGTAATCACGCACGTAACGTGTGGTAGGGGTTCAATTTCTCCACGTTTTTTTTTTTCAAACTGTCAGTGGAGCAGATTATCAAGGTATTTACACTTGTCATTAATTACTTAATCTTCTTGATACAATTTAGTATAGATGTGATACTTACCTATATCTTCCTATCACAAGGAAGTGGTGTGTGTTAATTATAATGCCTGGTTTGGTCTGCTCTAATACATGGATTTTCTCCTATCATTCTTTCACTTAAATCTCTTTTATATGCCTTGTACTTGCTCATTCTTTTCCATATTTAAGGTACTTATACATAGATTGAATGAGTGTACTAATCAAATTAACTGAGCATCTGTTTCTTCTTATTATTTTTATGCTAATGAATTTTGTAATTTCACATTAATTGATTATTATGTGTGTATAAAAATGTTTTTTTGTCACTGTGGTGTTAGCTTGATAAAGACCTGGTTACAGGTCGAAACGTTGCTGATCCAATAAAATTGCCTTTAACATATCACAGTGAATGCCTGAGATTTTTTTCATTTATATAGATTATTTGGGATTTGCTGACCCATGCTCAGTGCACCCTGTGTTAAATTATATGATCGAGTGCAACCCTCTTCTTTCTCTTAGAGCCAGTAGTCAGACACATCAAACAGAGCAAAGAGATCACAGGGATAACTACTCCGGCTGGAGAAGCGAAAATTGCTCTCTATGCCGATGATATTCTTCTTTTCTTAACTAATCCAACTCGGACACTGCCACTGCTGCTGGGTCTCTTGACCACCACATATGGTAGCGTGTCCTACTATAAAAACAACATACAAAAAATACCAGTGAGGCTTTCAACAGACCTCCAGAATCAACTCCACGGGCACACTTGTTTGATTGGCGTAAATCCTCGATTACTTATCTGGGTATCAAATTAACCAAGTCTAACATCTAGCTGTCACAAGAAAACCATAAAGCGCTGCTTTACAAACTAGAGAATCCGTTACGTAGGTGTCGTGGCTGGGTCGCATACACACCCTTAAAATGATGATTTTAATGTACATTTTATATCTCTTCTGAACAATCCCCATTGCTCTCCCAAATAAACTCCTTAAACAGTTCCAAATCCTCATAAATGTTCATATTTGGAAGAAAAAGCCCCCACGGATGCCACAGCACTTATTGTGGCTTTATCCAAAAAAGTACTATAAATCCTCATTAATTTTCCAAGCTCTATCAGTACTGATGGCCTCTTCACAGCCACTTTGGCTACCCCTAGAAAATGCATGTTCGGCCTCAGATGTAACGTCACATGTACTCTGAACGGCTGCCCAACCAAACCCGACAAAATAAGAAAATCAGTTTTATTTTAAATAAAACGAAATAATATATATACATACAACCAGGTCCTATAAGGAAGCAAGGATGCGAGTGTGGCGCTTGCTGCATAAATGCACCAGGTTCCCAATACTTCTTATTGGGTCGGCTGGTAAAGCATGCTTCATTCAGTAATTGAAAAAAAATTGGTAAAGCAATGTTGGGTTGGATTATGTAGGGTTAGTCTTAAAATTACTTAAAACTACTAAAAATGTATTTAAATCTCAGACATAGTAGACATTTAAATATCAAGACTGATATGTGAATCTATGTTGTTACAATTTTTTAATTTTTTTTAGATTGTATTTACACTTAATCTTATGTTAGTTATACACGATATAACAAACCTTTTCTGTCCTTTTGAAATATATAATATGCATTAGACATATGCAATTCGTTTCGGTACGAATTTAAATCTGGATGAATTTTGGCAATTCGGACATTCGGATGCTTCTGAATTGCTGAATTTTCGAAGTGCCGAATTTTCGAAGTGCCGAACTGAACCAAATTGCCGAAGTCCCAAATTGCCGAATTTCAGAAGTGCCGTATTGCTGCAGTGCCAAATTTCAGAAGTGCCGAAGTGCTTCGGATTTCTTAAAAGTGGGAAAACAGGAGTGGGAGGGAAAATTAAGGGAATGATGACAGGAATCTAACCCTACCCCTTAGGGGCGATTTTCGGAAGTGCCGAAATGAACCGAAGTGCCAAATTGCAGAAGTGCCAAATTGCCGAAGTCCCGAATTTCGGAAGTGCCGAACCAAATTTTTTGCCCATGCACATCCCTTATATGCATATGGATACTTAAAGAGAATATTTTAAATTAGCACATAGTGCACATTCTAGTGCACATCCATAATGGGTTAAGTTATAGGTTAATGTTTAGCAAATCCCTTTAAATTAACTGTCTATGCTCTAGGTAAGTGGAACAAGCAAAACAACATTCCATACTTTGTTGCCTCAAGTTATATTTGTGTTAGTTTCCTGTTGCCAGCCTAGCAGTCTTTCAGGAAGGATTGAATGAATGATTCAGAAAGAAAACATATACAGCTAATACATGGTGCGTCACTAATATTTCTGAGTGTTCAGTTCAGTGCAAAAACGTCACATGATTATACTCGACTAGATCAATGTTTGCCACCTCTTCTCTTCTTTCTAGAAGTGCAAGGGCATACTCTCCTACGATATAAAATACTTTTTATCACTCCACCTAAATTCTGTAAAAAACAAACAAACAAAAAATACAATTGCGAAAAAACATATATTTTTTTTTTTATATATCACTGAACGGTAATGCATACACACCATTAATAAACTGGCATAAATGGTGTGCTATTATTTTCTGAAAAGCTGTCAGAAGTGATAAACTATCAGCTGTCACTAAGTGAGAAGGAAATACCCTTTAAAAAGTCTGATGTCATTTATTTTAGTACTTCCCCTTTAGGACAGTCTGTTCCACTTTGTACCTGTAGTTAGTACACCTTTATTCACTGTGGTAGCTGTAGCTGTGAAGACACATTTCCCTTCTTAGTCCAGCTATGAATAATATAAAATGTGTGGTGGTTGGTGATGGGTAAGTAGCATGCTGAATGGTAAAATTGAGTGGGAGGTGATGTTGGTAAGAACAACTGTTCACGCTTTTCCCCAATTATGCCATTATTTCCTCTGTCTGTTTTTACTTGAAAATGCATTCATTCATAAGCACCATAGCTTTACCATTCCACTGTTACCATTTTTTTTATTTTGCACAGTTTGACACACAGACTGCTTACATTCTTCTCGAGCGCAATAAATATTCATAAAGATCTATCTATCCATTAATCCATCATATATCTGTCTGTCTATCTATTTATCTATTTTGAACACAAATTTTATTCTATTTCGATTCAGATGTGATTAAATACACAATTGACATTATATTGAGAGACAAGTGCTGATCACTCATATACTTGTTTTCTATTATTGCCTTGACAAATGGTTCCTCCGACTTACCTGATGAGACACCAATGTGCCCTGTAATATAAAAAAAACAAATGCTCAGGCACTCACTGTGTTGAAAGTTCAGGCAGAGCTTAATGGCACAGCAACATTTAATCCTCAACCCAGATCTCAAGTGCCTGAACTTTCAACAAGGTGAGTTCCTAAGCAGTATTTTTATATTATATGCATATGGGGAGTGCTGACCCTAACTCAGTTCGCACCCTGATTTTTGGTTGAGTGTAGCCCTTGTTCTCTTTTTACCAATATGCCCACTGACATGCAGTCCAACAGACCGCAATGCCTTATTTACAGTTGACTAATATGTTGTTATTGATACTATGCCTTGTTAAATACCTACCGCCCCAAGTTTGGCAGTCATAAGCTTCCTACTTAAGACACTGTTCAAATGCCTGCATATTGTTTTACTTGTTTTTCTGACTGTGTATGACGCTTAACCCCTTAAGGACACATGACGTGTGACATGTCATGATTCCCTTTTATTACAGAAGTTTGGTCCTTAAGGGGTTAAACAGCAATATGTGCACTGTTAAACTCTCCCCTTGAAAACTTTAAATAAAGATTGTCGAACAAAATTACACAATTTACATCCATTTTAATATTAGACTCCATTCTCATATTAAAAGACGCAAATTACTAAACATTGCATCATTTAAATGTGCAGTTTCTTTCTGCTGCAAAGACAAAACAGAAGATAAAAAAAGCCAAGATAGTCTTCAGCAATAAGTACAGTATCCCACTCCACAAATGCATTTGGTGGAAATAGACACGGACACAGCTTATCCCTAAAACAGAAATGTATCTGGAAATAATAATGGCTTTAGATTATTATTTTAATAACATTATACAGCATGTGCACCGTAGTGTCTGTTATTACTCTCTTATTTCCTATTTCTATAGAAAAATATTTATGAAATTCTGGAGAGGAATAAGGAGTGATAAGTTAGTTTTATATTAACTAGGGGAAACCTGTGATGACCTATAGGATTTTATTAGTCGATTTCTTGGTTTCCAATAGATCGCCTAATAGAATCATATTGGTCATCGCATTTTCCAACAAGTCTGAGCTCTACAAGTTCAAAGTCATTGCGCATGCTTTGTGCTGGCCAAAAAAACTGTGATATGTACCTGTAATCTTTCAGTATAAATGCAAAGTTTCACAGATTATTTTAAAAAGTACATAATCACTCAAAAAGTTAATGTTTTCACTTATTAATAAGTTATTAATAAGTCTCCAGTTTAGCAACTGAAAAAAATAAATCACTTTTTTTTTATGGTGTCAGATTTCAGAAGTCATTTTGCATAATTTAAAAAATGAAGAGTCTCAGATTACAGTATAATACACACTGAAATGTAAAATACACCTATACATTTTAGCTACAAATTTAGAAGATAAATAAAACAACCAGTGGAATCTCCTACCCTTCTTTTAATTTCATTAATCCCCTATTTTGTGTCTGCAACTTTTACACTACACCTGTATCTCTTGCCATTCCTGTATATTTTATATAGTGATGTCACGTAATATCTCAAGGGGTGACATAAGAGGAAAAAAGAAAATATTTGGAAAGGGGAAAATTCCCCAAATCACTAATAAACAAATTACAATGTGAGTACTATTTTTGACTTTGTCTGTAGCATTGTGTATCTGTATACTATCTGAATGAGTGTGTATTGTAGTGTGTGTATAGCAGTGTTTAATTTTCTAACTGTGAATATAAGTGTGTGCATACTGTTGTCTGAGTGAGTGTTTGTAACAGTGTGTATAAGTTTGTGTATAACAATTTATGCATCTTGTGTCAGTGTGTTTAAACTGTGAATGTGTCTGTGTGTCACTGTGTGTCTGTGTGTCACTGTGTGTCTGTGTGTGTGTGTGTTATTGTGTGTATATAACAATGTCTGTACCTGGCATGTATAATAGAGATGTATATTCTGTTTCCATTTCTCTCACCATTCTGTCAGAGAAAGAAAACAGCATTTGCATTTCTGGTATTTTTCTAATTCTGGATAGCCTCAAATACCGGCTGTACTGGTAAAATACAGGTCAGGTGTCATCCCTAAGCACCCACCTTGTGTCTCTTGTACCCATCTTGTGTGTCTTGCACCTCCTGTATATCTTTCACCCTTGAGTGTCTTAAGAGCCCCCATTTCTAATATATTGTGTCTCTTCCACCCCCGTTTCCGTAACATCCTTCACTAGTGTCATTGACCTTCTTCTGTAGTGAGGCCTTACGAAACGCTGCTGAGGACTTTCTTTATCTTTTCTTTTCTTTTTACCCAGTTTGACAGGAATATATAAATATATCTAAATATTATACAACATTTTAACTGATTCTCATTTTTTCTTTCTATTGGGCATTTATTTCTCGATTTTCAAATAAAATCAACATTTAGTAACTGTCCCGAGGCGGTAAAGGTATTGAGCCGCTCCAACCCCTAAATAAATACTCTTTTCATAACTTATTAATTCATCTCCATTAAAGTTTCAAGCTAGCTGATTGTCAGATGTCAGAGCTACACCCTGACATAAAAAGGTAAAACATAAGATGAGTAAAATTGCTCTGAAAGCTGATTGCAGTGGTACTAAGTCTGCTATCAGCTGACACATTGGCCAGCTTCATAGTGAGTCTATGTGCAGCTATTGACAGACTCCTGGTCTACACAAAACTGGGAGCAGGCCTGGTATGAGAAAGGGCTCAGTCTAAGTTGGTTGTGAGAGTTCCCGATTCCTTGATTGTCTTGATTAATTTCCATAAATGAATGTAAATATTTTAAGGCAAAGCTACAATCTCCTAAACAACTTCAGCTCACTGAAGTTGTTATGGTAATACAAGTGCCTGGGCGCAGTCTTACCTTCAAAAGTTATACCATTTTGCAATGGATTAAAGGGATACCATAGGCACCCAGACCACTTCATCTCATTTAAATGGTCTGGGTGCCATGTTACACTCGTTTTAACTCTGCAGCCGAAAACATTACCATTCTGAGGAATTTTCTCCCAAGGAAATCGTAGAGTAAAACTCTGCTATTGGCACAGCATTGCATCGTCCCATGCATTGGCACTAGCAATGCTTTCTTATAAAAGGTAGGACAGTAGCTGGACAGCCCTGGCTTCACAGCAACTTCAGTGACCCGACTGTGTTTTGGGGTATGAGTACTTCTTCGATATTACAAGATTTCAGCTCTAACTATAATGCTAATGTTGTTGTTTCTTACAGAGCTGTGGGGAAAACATGTATCTTGATGAGTTATGCACACAATTCTTTCCCTGGGGAATATATCCCAACCATGTAAGTATTTAACATTTAGTTTAGTATTGAGTGCTTTAGTAACTTATACCTTCTATATGTATTTGCCCAGTACATATTAATAGAGTATTTGTATGCATGTATTGGCATTAGATTAAATCATTATCTGATTGCAAGGTGGAGTAAAAGTATCTAGATGGGAAACATACATATCACAAGACTACACACATAAGCACATCGCTTGAGTATATTAATTGTTTGTTGTGTATTTAATTTAATTATGTGGCTATATTCATATACGAGTATGAGTATGTTTACCAATTCATATGATATTCCTTAAATATTCCTTAAATTCCACTATAGTCACCTGAACAACTTTAGTTTAATGATGCAGTTTTGGTGTATAGAACATGCCCCTGCAGCCCCACTGCTCAATCTTCTGCCATTTATGAGTTAAATCTCTTTGTTTCTGAACTCTAGTCACACCTCCTTGCATGTGACTTGCACAGCCTTCCATAAACACTTCCTGTAAAGAGAGCCCTATTTAGGCCTTCTTTATTGCAAGTTCTGTTTAATTAAGATTTTCTTATCCCCTGCTATGTTAATAGCTTGCTAGACCCTGCAAGAGCCTCCTGTATGTGATTAAAGTTCAATTTAGAGATTGAGATACAATTATTTAAGGTAAATTACATCTGTTTGAAAGTGAAACCAGTTTTTTTTTCCATGCAGGCTCTGTCAATCATAGCCAGGGGAGGTGTGGCTAGGGCTGCATAAACAGAAACAAAGTGATTTAACTCCTAAATGACAGTGAATTGAGTAGTGAAATTGCAGGGGAATGATCTATACACTAAAACTGCTTTATTTAGCTAAAGTAGTTTAGGTGACTATAGTGTTCCTTTAACTTATTATATCAAAACCTTCCACTATTGATTGGAGAAGTCCTTAAAAACTCATCCCTTCAGGAAAGCTAATGATCTTCTTGGGTATTTTATTTCTTTATATGAGTCTGTCCCACATTTATTTACATAACTGTTCATCCCACAGTTCATTTTATATTAAATAAACACTATTATTTTAATTATTATACACATACAGGGTTATTCACTAAAGTCTGAATGGGGCAAAACCATTGAGCTGCATACTGGGCCATTCGGACTGCAAAGTCTAGACATTGTTGATGGAATTCATCAATCTCTGGATTTTTTAATTCAGACCTTGAAAAAGCATGAAATTGGTCTAGATTTCAGCCGGACCTAACACCAATGAGCAGCTGCAACCTGGACCAAATGGATTTAAACTGGGCCCTTAGCAAAGGCGTGCGCACGGCATGCCTATGTATATTGAGACCAGCAGGGGAGATCTCAGGATCTCCCCTGCTGGCTCATGCAGAGCCGGCGCTATCCGAGCGCCAGCTCTGCTCTCAGCAGGAGAGGACCCGGGGAGCTATTGCCGGCAGCTCCGCCGGGTTCCTCTCGCGAGAAATGAGAGTTGCCACGGCAACGCTCAAATCTTGCGAGAGTGAACTCTAGCCCCACAGTTCACTCTCCACTGGACCACCAGGGAAAGCAGCAACAACAAAGATCCCCCCTCCCAGGCATAAGGTAAGAAGGGAGGAGGGATATCAAGTGATGTACCCCCACCTCCACCCCCCAAAATCACACACACACATACAACACACACACACATACAACACCCACAGACATACACAGCACCCACACACATACAGCACCCATAGACATACACAGCACCTACACACATACACAGCACCCACACATACAGCACCCACAGACATAAAGCACCCACACACATACACAGCACCCACACACATACAGCACCCACACACATACACAGCACCCACACACATACAGCACCCACACACACATACAGCACCCACACAAACACACACAGCACCCTTACACACAGCACACAAACAGCACCCTCACACACACACAGCACACTTACAGTACCCTCACAAACACAAACAGGACCCTAACAAACACACACACAGCACACTACCAGGACCTTCACACACACAAACAGCACCCTCACACACAGTACATTAACAGCACCCTCACAAGCGCGCACACACAAACACCCTCACCCACATAGCACACTACCAGCACCGTCACACACACATCACACTAACAGAACCCTCACACAGCACACACACACACACAGCAGTGTGTGTATGTGTGTATATATGTGTATATATATATATATATATACATACATACATATATATATGCGGCGTGTGCTTGTGCTTTAGGGTGCACACCCTAATGCAATAGGCTGCGCACGTCTATGGCCCTTAGGCTTCAACTCATTAAACAAAATAGTCAAACTATTGGCCCGCTGACAGCACTAACAGCTAGTGGGCAAATAACACACTGGATACAGCCTAATATGGTACAATAGAGAAAGGGGGGTAACCCCTAGTAGAAATAGACAAAATGTTTGAAAGTAGTGTACCAGTGAAACTGTACTGGGGGAGAAAGTGTGAACATCTGTACTTTAGACTCCTATATCGATATACCTTTTCACTGGTACACTACTTTCAAACATTTTGGCTAATGGGCAAAAAGTAAAAAAAAAAAAAAAAACTTTGCAGCACAAGGGTTAATTATGTGGAGACTCCCAGAACTTGCTAGCCAGCCTCCATATAAAAATATTAAAATAAAAAAAAATAAAGAAAATAAATCATATGGTGTCAATAAGAACCCCATATTGCTAAAATGGAGTTAATGTACCTCCACATGCCCACATCTGCCATATGGCAGATAGGGCATATCTTCTAAACCTTAAAAACATGGGGATGGTTCCTGTGAAATAACAGTGAGGGGGCATAGTCCACCTCTCCTCCCTGCTCCCACCTGTGGGCATCGGGAGGAGGCTACTTTAAATTTTAAAGGGGGTGACCTATTATACGATGGCATGGGTGGGGGCTTTAATATATATAATAAAGTTAAGAGACCTATTGTGCCCTCTTCCCCTCCCCCCCCCCAAGCCATGCCGGTTGGTTCCTTCCTTAATATTTATTAAATAGGGGGGGAACTATTGTACACTCCCCTGGCAAATTCCATGGTCTCCAATCGCCTAGCCACCCCCTAAAATAAAGTCCCTAGCTACCTCTAAAAGTATGGAGGGGGACAAAAAATATAAAGCATGATGATGAAAATTATACTTAAAATTAGAAGTCTTCATGCAATACTTCTCTTCTTCAGCACCAAAAAAGGCTAAATAAAAATCCATAGTAACTGACTCCATAAATTAAAATTGAAAAAAAAAACACTGGAAAAAATAAAAACATGCCACAATAAAAAATAATCCATCTTCACTCATGGAGGACTCGCGGCAGAATGAGTGCTCAAAGCGGGGAAAGTACCTTTTATAGACTTTTCCACATTATGACAGCTAACGAAAAGCATGGAAAATTTTTCCACGGTTTTAAATATGACCAAGAGCGCTTTGATTGGTTGGCTAGTAAACCAAACAGTCAGAGACTTCTGACCAAAACAAATTCAACAAACAAGTGTACAATAAGGTGGATGGCGCTAGTATAACAGGGAGTGCAGCTATCCCAGTGTCTATATGCACTCACTAGACACACCATACAGTATAGAAATAAATTAGAAAAAATAGGGGGTGCACATCAAACCATATATAAAATAGGGTAAAAATTAGCTAATGCTTAAACATAGTATCAATGATACAGCAAATCTAAAAAGATAAAGAACACACTTTCAAAGCATAGTACTGTATAGACTATTGTAAAATTTGTGAAAGACAAATTCCAACTCACACTATGCAGAGCCACTTATAGTAGACTCTGACTATAATGGCATGTAGATGGCAGAAATATTTAGCTGTTGGTCCTCCACTCTTGATATCCTCCTAATGTGGATCAGATGTAGAGAATGATAATAGGGAAAAAATACTTTTATTTCAACAGATAAAATAAATGATTAAAAACAATCTATGAATCTATGCATTCACTGCAATAAAAAGTAAAGATAAGTCAGCAGGTAACCACACAACGCGTTTCAACTGCTAGGTCTTCTTCAGGTGTATACTTTATCCTGCTGAGTATGTCCTTATATATGTCCCAAATGATAATTAAAAAATTGGAGCCATCTCCTGGCTTGCCACACGGCATTCCGTTTCCGGGTTTGGTATTCTTTGTTCAGATTTGCTTCTGGGTTCTGTCCCTGCTGTTAAGTTATGACTTCCCAATGTGAGAATGTCATATGTACTTCCGGGTTAATATGTCCATCTCGATCAGTTCGCTCACAAGCCAACGGTTACCTAATAACGATGCCCTGATGTTGCGTACAGCCATCGAAAAAAACCTGGCGTCATAGATAACTGAATACCAACACAGGTACTGTAATTATAAAGGGGAACTCCGTTCGCCATATTTAGTAATATCGGGTAATATACTTTGATGTCAATTTTGCCCTTACAACTCCAATATATAAAGGTATAAGGAAGTAGAAAAAGGTGGCGCCACAGAGATAATATGTACAATTAAATATAAGCAAATAGTAATATAGAAATAAACAATGATATATAATACAGAGAGAGAACAATAAAAAAAAATATATATATATTTTTAAACATACCCAGTCCTGCAAAGAACTCAGAGCTCAATCAGCTGTTCCACTGCCATTTGCAACAGGTAGCCTTCTGGAAGACTGATTCCCCACCCACCCCATGCTCATTTCCTCATTTATAGATAGTCTCCCACACAACTTTCAATCTCCTGAAATGACAGGTGCAAACACTGATCAGCACACCCTTCCAATCTCTTAACCCTATAGAACAAATACCCTCTCTCCCTACAAATAGATATATATCACACACCAATATTATATACTTTTATTTCATTTTTGTTTTTCATGATTTGTTTCATTTTCATCTACACACCTCATACCACTAACATGAATGCAAATATAACCATACTGTTATTCTTAATAACCCTTTTCTCAATCTAATTTTGTTCACATCACTACCACTGGAACACAAATTATCGTGCACCTGACATGCTCTGTTCCTGTAACTTACCTGCTGAGTGCTGGTGGAGAGTTATAAAAAATAGCTCTCCGAGTCCTACTCTCACCTCACTAAATTATAAAGTATCCAATTCACTATATGGTGAATAAATTATGTCTAAATTTCTATTCCTTATGTTACTTGCCCTTGCAAATGATGTGGAGTCTAACCCTGGTCCCCCAGCTAATTCTAGTCCTAATCTCCCCACTAAAAAAGGCCTCTCTTTTGTGCACTGCAACATCCGTAGCTTACTCCTAAAACTGGATGCACAAACCAAAAATCATTGTGCTCTCAGAATCATGGTTAACGACTAAAATACCAGACACCGTCATTGCAATACAGGGTTATTCATGTTTTAGAAATGACAGAGCAAAGAGAGGAGGAGGCATAGTTATTGATGTTGACAATTCCATAAAGTTTACCCCCTTATAAAACTTTAGCCGTCCGGTCACCTTTGATTTCCTTTCTGGCACAATTGAGATCCCATGCAGTAAATCAATCATTGTTGCAGGAATCTACCGCCCACCTAGCTCCCCTGTGCATTCCCTTTCTGACATAGCCCATCTCCTTAGTGAAACCATAGCTCAAAACCCAAAAAGTGAACTGTTGGTCTTTGGAGATTTTAATATTGATTGGCTGAATCCTAAGCATAATAGTTCTTGCACGCTGTTTAAGACTTTGCAGCTAACGCAATTAATCTCCTCCCCGACGCATAAACATTAAAAGCCATAACCATACCCTGCTCGAATGGATTCTCTCCATTTCTCCTGATAGAATCCAGGAGGCTGGTGTTCTCCCAAACAGTTTCAGTGATCACTGTTTAGTGTACTGCGTGCGCAAAATAAAGGCTACTAAATCATCTCCCAAGGTTAAAATAAAAGGTCCTTCAAAAAATGTAATCTTGAATCCTTTCTAAATGACATCAAGAACCTCCCATGGCAAAGATTAAACATTATCCCAGATCTAGACTGTGCTGTTGAATTCTTTCAGTCTGAACTCCTACAAATTTGGAATCTGCATGCCACGCTGCATGAGGTGAGGGTAAAAGGAGCACATATGAACTGGATCACAGCTGACCTCATCCAAATGTACCAGTTTCGGGATTCTTTGTGGTGAAAGTTCAAGCGTACTGGCTCTATGAATGAAATACACAATGGCGAAATATATGCACAAAACAAACAAAATTGGTCAAGGCCCAATATTTCTGTGAAAACCTGAACAATAACATCTCAAACCCTAGAAACTTTTGGAAAGTCATAAATAAACTACAAACTCCCCCAATCCACTCCCAACCCTCCACTTTCAAAGTGGATAACCAAACCCTGCAACTTTAACCTTTTAGATGTAGCAAATGCCTTTAACAATTATTTTGTCAGATGCTCCAACACCCTGATTGCCAAGCTAATAAATGACACGCATCCTGAAACTACAAAAGTGGATCAGGCCCCACTAAATTTGCAAAGACTCAATACAGACAAGTTCATTTTTAGACCTGTATGGTTTAACACCTTAATAATCTAAAAAGGAAAAACCAGTCTGGACCTATTCAAATAAATGCTGTTGAAGCTCAGTGCGCCGGCAATTGCTAAACCCATTGCAACCCTAATTAACGAATCCTTGGTGTATGGATACATACCCAAACTTTTCAAGACTGCAAGAGTAGTGCCTATCCATAAAAGTGGTGATACTACTTTGGTTTCTAACTATCTTCCAATATAATTGCTCCCAGTATTGTCAGAAATCTTAGAAAAATGTGTCCATACGCAACTATGTGAGCATTGCCAACAATCAAACTATCTGACCCCTGATCAATCGGGTTTTTGCCAAAATCACTCCATTACAACTGCCCACTTAAAAGTTTGCAATGACATCCAAACTGGCATGGAACAAGGAGACCGAACTGGAGCTATTTTCATTGATTTTGCAAAGGCCTTTGACACAGTAGACCACAATATTCTACTGCACAAACTCAAAAACTCAGGTATTGGTGACTGTTCGTTAACCTGGTTTTGATTGTGTCTATTGGATCGCTCACTATATGTGTCCATTTCTGACAACGACTCCCTCCCTCTCCCAAATTACATCCCGAAGGTTCCATTCTCGCCCCCCTACTATTTACATTATTTATAATTGATCTGCCTAATGTCTGCAAATCTTTAAATGTACACATGTACGCAAACGACACAGTAATCTATGCGAGCAAATCCAATTTACTGCAGCTTGAGGCTGTGCTCCAAGACAAGTTTACAGAAGTAGAAAAGTGGATCGCAAAAAACAAACTCTTCCTAAACACTGACAAAAGTGTTACAATGATCTTTAGAACAGTACCTAAATTACACAAATTACACAATTCCCACCTATCCATCAACACAAATTCAAATAGCACACTGACCGCAGTCCACTCTTTCAAATACTTGGGTATGTTGTTAGACCCCAATCTATCTTTTGGCCTCCACATAGAAAAACTTGCATCTAAACTTTATCCAAAACTAGGTGCCCTGTACAGAAACAAATCCTGCCTAAGCCCTACAGTAAAGGAAATGATTGTATAGCAAATGCTGATGCCAATAATTGATTATGGGGATGTAGTATATGCACCTGCACCACAATCCCACATTAATAAACTCAATACATTGTATAACTCGTTCTGCAGAAAATTTTCATTTTACTAGGGTCCTGACAATTTCAAAAATGAAGGGAAACAATATGATTTTAATAACCCCTTTTGATGTTGTAAATGTGCTCACGTATCTGGATCCCCAAACATCTGGATGTTTTTCGTACATACTGGAGACCACACGGACACGTGACAACCTATACAATATTTTTAGAATTACATGTTATAAATGAGTGAATATTAAAATTATCAGAATTACTTTTTGAATAAAATGATTCAATACTTTTCTCTTTGTTTTCTGTCAACTTACATCCCATACAGTTACCGCTGAAATGTAATCCCTTTTTTTGTTTCCTATATAAATTAATAAAATTATCATTTGCCTATACTAAAAAACTTGATGTTAAAACTTGTTTTAAATTAAGAGCCACTCTAAAAATGACCCTAGGCTTTTGTCTTTTGTGCAATTTTATTATCCTGTTGAAGAATTTGCCAATTTTTCCTCAAGATTATTTTTAATTGTCCTTGATTTTCATTATAGTTAAAAATTTGGGTAATAATTTCTGAATTTGTATTATTTTCTCTACCTTTATATGTTAATAATCTATCTCTGACAATTCCTTACTTTATTAATTTTTCTATTGATACTGCCCTGTTCATAACCTCTATTGAGGAACTGTTGTTTTAAAATCTCTGCTTGTCAATTGTATTTGGATATATCTGAACAATTCCTCCTCAGTCTTAATAATTGACCTCTAGGGGCTTTCTCTAACCATGGATACAAATGGCAACTATCTTTATGAATGAAACTATTCACATCTACTTCTTTTTTTTTTTTTTTTTTTAAAGGTGCATTATTTTGACCTGGTTGTTCTCTATATAAATATTTAAATCCAAAAAGTTAATATTATTCTTGCTTATCTTGTGCACCAATTTAATATTCCAATCATTAGTATTTAAAAAGTCTAAAAATTCTAAAACAGAGGATTTGTTGCCATGCCAGATAAAAAATATATCATCTATGTACCTCCAATAGAGGGCAAGGATCTTTGCCCAGCCATGTGCAGAATTTCTCCCAATATGCCATAACTAAATTGGCATAGCTGGGCACGAACCTGGTCCCCATAGTAATGCCTCTCAAGAGGAGGTAATAGTTTCCCTGGAACCAGAAAAAGTTATTAGCCAGGATCAATAAGATCCCTTACAAAATAAACTCTATCTGTTTCTCAGGGAAGATATCTGAAGATTCCAAAAAGTATCCCAACCCCTACTATGTTCAATACATGTGCATAGGCTAGTAACATTGCATGTAACCAAAAGGAACTCTTCTTCCCATTTAAATTCCTTTAAGCCTAGTAAAATAGTTTTTTAAGATAAGATGGACATGTCTTAATGATTGATTATAGATGGATATCCATGTATTTAGAAAGTGTAGATACAAGTGAACCCTGATACAATAGTTCATCCTAGGGGGTTCTGAATATCCTTATGTAACTTCGGTAGGACATAAATTAACGGTATCTTGGGGAACTCAGTATTTAAAAATTTGTATTCTATCCTTGTTAAAATACCATTTAAAAGTCCCTTATCCAAATATTGCACATACTTCTTTCTAATTTTTATAGAAGGGTTATAATTTAATTTCAAATATGTTTCCAAATCTTCTAATTCAGGGCTCGACAAATCCCAGGCACCAGGTCGCCATGGTGACAAAGAAATTTGTCCTGGTGCCTTGGATTTGTCAGCCCATCCGTACCCTCCTCCTCTCTCGCCTCAATTATCAATCTTGATGATCTCAGCCAATCCTATGCTTTTTCATAAGAAAGCATTTGAAAGCTATTGAGCATGCGGGGCAAAATGCTGCACCAATAAGCATCTCCTCATAGAGATGCATTAAATCAATGCATCTCTGTGGGGGACGTTTAGCTCCTCCATGCAGAGCATGGAGATTCTAAATGAAGGTGCTGCACATTTTGCAGCACTGACATAGGAGACTCTTTAGTGTCTAGAAAGCAGAAACTTTAGTTAGGAGTTAGTTTTTTTTTCAACAACAACAATACAATTCTTAACGGAACAGGCTATAGACACCAGAGCCATTACATTAAGCTACAATGGTTCTGGTGACTATAGTGTTCCATTAAGAATTGTATTTTTGTCGTTGAATAAAACTATCTCCTAACTTTTTTAGCTGACTTCTAGATTTAAAACAAATTTGTCAAACCCTGTTCTAACTGTCTATTAATTTCTTTCAAATATTGGACCTTATTCATTAAGACAATCCCACCCCCCATATCAGCTAGTTTAATACCTAGATTGGGGTCAGATTTCTGATCATTCATAGCCTTTTTTTTTTTTCATTAATAGTTCAATTGTTTTTATATTTATGATTGTTATTCTCTAACTGTTTAATATCTTTTGTAAAGGCCTTCTCTAATACCTTCATATTCATAGATTTTAAATGATAAAAAGTGGATGGATTCTTTAAGGATGTATGTATAACATGAGTGTCTTCCCCAGTATTATCTATTCAGATTATATTGTCTTACCCTTTAATTTTTTTTCCTTAAAAACCTATTAATATTAATAAAAGTATCAAATGAATTAATAAAATTACTTGGATCAGAGTTCTGACTGTCAAGTCTTGAGTGTCATGTCTTGAGAGAAGTGAGACACCAGAAGTGTTGTCTAGATATTCACTCCATGCTAACTGCTTGAGATTTATTTATTTATATAGATTTTTTTTTTAAATAGTTTTGATAACTATGCGGCTAACTTGATGGTTGATGGAAAACCATTGAACTTGGGCTTATGGGATACAGCAGGGCAGGAAGACTATGACAAACTGAGGCCCCTCTCATACCCACAAACAGTAAGTGCACCAAAAAAGAAACAATGGGTACTAGATGGTGATAATATTTTGTTATAATTTGTGCAGGTTTACATGTGCCAGAGGTAAGCTGTTTTGCTGATATTGATCTGATCAGTGCAGTCAGGTGACTTTAAATTGTTTAACCTGCATGAATAACAAATAATTTGCTTTCCCCTATTTTCGATCCGCTTCATTTCCCCTTGTGATTTGTGTTTATTTAAGATTTTTTTTTTATAATTTCAATTTTTAAAAAGCCATACCAAAACAAGGAAAACACTTCATTGGGCTTTATTATTTAAAGAGCAAATTGCTCTAAATAAAAAAAAAAAACCAACTAAATTGCAGGTAAAAAAAAAAACTAAGCTGGCATTATAGCTGAGTTGTAGAAATTAGATATTTTTGACTAACATTTTACAAATTTTTCAGTTTTTACATTTCACTAAAATTCACTGAATTCAATAACTGCTAATTCGTTAATTTTTTATTTTTTTTAGGATGTTTTTGTGATCTGTTTTTCACTGGTGAGCCCAGCATCATATGAAAATGTTCAAAGCAAGGTCAGTATTGTTTAATTTACTAAACAGAAAAACTGCCCTAGTCTGGCCTATCCACTCCTCTCATTTTCCCCCCTTTTTTTTTTATATTCTTTATTTTGATAGTGCAATGAGGTTAACAGTCGTACCCGCAGTGCCACAACAGCAACTGCTGGCTTTTCATGGTATACAGTGTCATGACATCGTCGTAAGTTGCACAATTTGATAGGTTAACTGGTCGATACAAATCGTACTATGTTACAGGTAGTGATTAGTAGTAAGTAAATAGCTAGATATCGTTAACAAACAATACAGAATTAAGTGTTGATAAAAAAATATATATATTTCAAGTTATTTAGGTCAAAACCAAATCCACTGAAGATGTGTTGACAATTGCTCAGAGTAATTGAACTGAGCAAAGTGAAGATTACAAACTAATAGCCATGTATGTCAACCTCCATAATAATTTTTAGAGTAAACAATGTGTTATTACATATTGCAATAGTTGCTAAGATTTCATTTAATCAATAATTCATTCAAAACAAAGTTGATGGCCATGGGCTGCCTGCAATATAGCTTCTCTCACTACATCCTACTTCCACTGCAGACCAAAAAAAGCAGCAGTTGATGAGAGCTGGGAAGATATGATGTCATATTCCTATCTCCTCTATCAACTGGAGCTTCACAACATGAGTTTGCTGGGAGAACTGCATGAACGAGAATGTATGAGAGAAGACTGACACAAAGCCGCTTCCACACACAAACCGCATCTCACTACACTATCAGAGTAAGGAGATGGTAGGAAGGATGGCTACATTACCAGGGCAAGAAAATGGGAGGAAGGATGACCATAGTACCAGTGTAAGGAGATAGGCGGAAGGATGACTATACTACCAGGGTAAGCAGATAGGAAGAAGAACCACTATACCTTCAAGATACGGAGTTAAGAGGATGGATAACTACACAAACTGAGTAAGGAGATGAGATGAATAACCACTTTACCACCAGGGTAAGGAGATGAGAGAAAGGACCACTTTACCACCATGGTAAGGAGATAGGAGGAATAACCACTTTGCCACCAGGATAAGGAAGTGTGAGTAAGGACCACTTTACCACCAGTGTAAGAAGATGGGATAAAGGAGCACTTTACCACCAGGGTAAGGAGATAGGAGGGATAACTACTTTGCCACCAGGGTAAGGAGGTATGAGTAAGGAACACTTTACCACCCGTGTAAGGCAATGGGAGGAAGAATGACAATTCCTTCAAGGTAAGGAGATGGGAGGTAGGATGATTTCATCACCAGTGTAAGGAGATGAAAGAAAGGACATTATATTTTTATTTTAGCAAATTAGATTTTTGATACAGGTTGTGCAAAAATCTCACGTGAGTAAGATTAGTAATTGGAAGAGCATGAGAAATTGCAGAGAAGAAACAAGAAGGAAGAAAAAGGAGAAGAAAGAAACTGGAAGAAAAAAAAGAAGAGCAGAATGTTCACAAAAGGTTAAAACTGTATAGAGGGTGTCCAAGTTGGCAGAGTTGAGGAAGTCAGTTCGTAGGACTAGGTTGCTTAACCAGAGTACATGTCCCACGTCTATGGGCTTTGTTGCCTACATGTCGCTCGTGTGTGTCAATGTAACCATCCTGTATATATAACATTATTAACATAGTAGTAACATAAACTTTTCCTGGGGAAGGGTTACAGAAAGGAAACATTAGGGTGTTAGGTTCACATTGTTACTGTTCAGTTAACATGACTTGCTGCCTGTGTTCTGGAGCCATAGCTGGTCGTTTGTTGTACCCCTTCAGTAGTGGGGTGTATGTGTGTGCCATCGTTAGCTATGTGTGTGCACCCGTTAGCCCTTTACTGGCATTTTGTTGGTTGGAAAGCTGGTTAGTAGATGTTTGGATACCACCAACTCTTTCATAAAAGCAACTTTGACTGTCTGGCATTTCCTGGAACAAACCTTGGACTTATTCTCTTTTCCCTCGCCATTAACTCTACTGTTTTTAAATTCCTTCTTGCCTCCTGAGTTAGAACCAAAGCCTTCCATGCATTATTTTTATACATGATACCCCAGGCCCATCATATACTTTTGCCATAGTAAAATTTAATACAAGAATCTGCCCCTAATTTTATGCAACAATTTCGGTATTACCAGATCATTGCTTATCTGACAGACTTCACACAGTGCCATTGCATTGTACAGCACTTGTCAAACTTAGAGGCATTGTGCCTCAAGACTGACCCTCTGTAGCATGGGGTCTCTTTTCTGTACTCCAGCCTTTAGCACCAAAGTAATTCTCTTATACCTAATTTCTGTGGTAGATAGCCTTAAAAACCATGTTATTGGCTCCCCAATAGAACAACATTTTTGATTTAGTGCACCATTGCTCCCTGCCGAGCAAAATACAGGACTCCTCCTATAAGCTCTTGTAGCGAACCACCAGTATATCACCGCCACGGATTCCCTTTCACAAAATGACGTAGCTCCAACAATCATCAAATTAAATATCACTGGTTTCTCCTTTCCCCCCACACATTAGTCGAGACTGAATGCTGGGTGTAGATCTGTTTAATGCAGGCAAGCACTCTCAATTTATACATACAGTAAACTCCTTCCCTGTGCCTGACAGATAATTGAGTCAGGAAAACTCAATTATCTTCCAGGTATAAAAAAAAAAATAACACATTTTGAACACCCCAAAAGTACCCCCAAAATACATAGAAACCCCTCGAGAGTAACATGCTCGGATGGCTCTCATCTGAGGGCCTATCATATCCAAAAAGCACTCAGATTGCTTTGGTGGTTTGGATTTTCCATTAAGGTACAATTTTGACCAGCTGTCCATGAGATAGAAGCTCAAAACAGTTCCAGGGAAATCGTGGCAACAGCCAGCCTCAGTTCAAGTGTTTTTATACGAAAAACATACATAATATGCGAATGCCGTTCGTTTAGGTGGTCGGGAAGTTGAACGAGCAGCAGTTCCATATTCACCCGTGTTTGCGGGAGTGCCTAGCCGAAATAAGTTTCAGGCACTCGATGACCAGGTACCGCTGCCTGCGTTCAGGAGACAAAATGGCCCAGGAGAGCTTTTTAGTAATAGTTTCCTTTGAGGTTTCAAGTTCTAATTAGATGTTGGGGTGGTCTTCCTTCAGGAACCGAACCAGGGGAATTTCGTATGAACAAACGAACAGGGGAAAACGATTACAACCGAACCAAGTGATGGGGCATTCCTTCATAGTTCCTATCTCTGTGGTATAGAACTCCACAGGCCCTATTCAGGTTTGATTTCTCTCAGGATTGTGGATGCTGGAGATGCCATGATTCCCCGTCACCTTGGCCATACATGGTGGGATTGCCCAAAGATAATTTTGTTATGGGAAAGAATACATGACAAACAAATCAAACAATTCACTGAACATCATCCTCCATTTCAGCTGGAGGTTCATTCTACCCCATGCCTCTGCGGCGACCTTTGTGGTGACCTCTGTGGTGACCTAAGGTAAAAAAAATCAATTGAATATTACTAAACACTCTATTCCTCGATGTAGGGTAAACCAGACACACTGCTATTGATACTACAGGATGGAAGACTTCAAGACAATGGAGACAATGGAGATGCTCACATTCAGCACCTCAGGCCATACTCAAACATATATGGCAATATGGACACAATGGATAACCACAAAAAAAAATGCTAGTTTTCAGGCATATCTCAATAGGCCTTACACTCTTTTTTGGGTTTACTGGGGAGCTTGGGCTGCTTTGTTTGAGAAGTTGGATGATACGGGGACTCAAACTCTTTCTCCCTCTTTCCCTGTCCTTCTTCTCTATATTTTATTTCCCTTTTCTTTACTATTTACTTTTTTTGCTTCTTCATCACTTCTCTTGGCAACACATTTTTTACTGGAAAATTATTTAATTAGGTTTCTTCTTTTGAAAAGCTTCTAAGAGTTCGATATCTGAAGCTTGATTATGCCATTGATTATCTGTAGAGTTTTTCTTTCCCATTTTTTACTTTTTTTGCAACTTTTTAAAAAAATCTTTATTTTTGAAAGTGCAGCGTTAAATACATAGGTCAGTGAGTACAAGTGATATTACATTTAGTAGGCAATTGGTAACCTTAACCGGAACAGATTCAGGATGCGCTGCACTTTTTTTTGTGTGAAGAAAACAAGAGTAAACATAGACAGGCATAGCAGAATGAAAGGAACTAACAGGCTATACATGCTGTCTATACCACTTTAGTTTCGATTATAATGTTGGGTTACAAGCTAGTGTTGAACTGTGAACAAGTTCTATCATCATGCTTTACTAACTAATGTAAGTGCCACCTAGCACTGGTTGCTTTAAGTTATAGATTATCTGCCCCAAGACAAGAGAGGAACGTGATTACGGGGGGCCACACATGTAAGATATCACATTTTTAACCCATGCACGTCTCACATATAGCGCTCCTGTGACTAAAATAAGAGCTCAGGTCTCGCAGTTTCGCACCACACCTGCCCCTGGCTGTAGTAGAGTCCAGCTCCCCAGTCTTCCATGCCCCGTTTTGTGTTGCGGTCAGGGTTTTGCTTCATGTTCGTCCGACCGGCAGCTCCTTCTCCTGTGGATCGCTCTAGGGTGTGAGTTGTCTTTGTGGGATTGTCCCATTGTGGACCCTGGCCCAGATGGGTAGTGTTCCGTAGCAGGATAGGGCTAGTAGCTTCTAAGTGTCTTCGCTTCATGGGCGACTGGGCCGCTGCAGATTTGCATCTGGCCGGTCCTGAGGGGGTAGGCTGGGATGTAGCAGTTGCTGCTGCAGATTTCTCCCTTTGACGTTGGGTCGGAGACCAAAGCCAAAGGTGATCAAATAGCTTGTTTATCTTCCTGTGAGGCCCACTTCGCGGATGCCCGGCAACCATTAGGCGTCCCGCCAACGGCCATCTTAGTGCGTGTGGTGCCAGGAGTCAGCCCAGCGGGGACTGCCATTTCCTGCTTGGGTGAGCGGATCAGCGCCTTGGTGGGGACCGGGATAACCCCCCTGGTCCAAAGGGGGGGGGGAAACAGGGCCGGTGAGATGATCCACCACAGAACCGCACCAGGCAGTCAGTAAGTAAGTGAGGCGGCTGCCGTCCACCCCACCCCCCGCTCCGGTAGGCCGCAGGCTCCGGATACACAATCTCCTAACAGGGCTTCACAGTATCCAGACCGGAGCCCCGTCGGTCATACAGTTGGAGATTGGAATGATATATTCATTTGGGAGGGCATGTGACTATACATTGAGTTAATATGGCTTGGGAAAATGTGTCAAATTGCTGAGGTGATGAATGCGAGGAATCAGGTATTAGTGCAATTTAATATAAGGTCACACTGTTGGAACAGTACTTTGAATGCAATTAAGGGTGTGCAGAAGAGCAATAAATAATGGACAAGACTGTGAAATAGGAGAAATTGAATGTAGAAGCCGCAGGAGAACTTAAATATGAATTTGGGTGGCTTTCATGTTGTTGTAATGGATGTGGGAAGTGCATAGCTTGGATTTAGCTGTGGTGTGGGATTTGGGTGAGTGAAGCAGGGGCAGCAATTTGTCCATGGACCTAAGTGGCATGGTGTATTGGCCTAGATCTAGATGAAAAGATATTTTAAAAGTTTAAGTACTATTCACAAATTGTTTTTTTTATTATTTTCTCTTAGTGGTATCCAGAAGTTAAACAGCATTGCCCTAATGTTCCTATTATTCTAGTTGGAACAAAGCTTGATCTTCGTGATGACAAAAAGATCATTGAAGAACTTAACAAGGTCAAGCAGTCCCCAATATCTTACCCCCAAGGCCTGGCACTAGCCAAACAAATTGGTAAGTGATGGAAAAATGGCTGAATGTAAAGCAATTTCAGGAACAAGTTATATGCATCAACTGGGAAAATTATAGCAGCGTTCTTCTTCATGTTCATATGATGATAAATAATGCTAAATGTTACACGTTTTTATTAAAGAACTGTTTTGGTTGAAGTCAGTCCTACTGGCATAACCACTTACTTCCAAGGAGGGAGAGAGACAGAAAGAGAAAGAAAGACGTACCAGTGATTCCATGCTGAACCAAACTCTCTCTGTGGCCTGATCCTCTTCTGTTTACATCACTACCTATAAGTGCAGGGGGTCAAACATCTCAGTAGATGGGCTGATGGGAGAATTTGGGTGGCATGGGGGGGTAGGAGTGTGCCTCCATTTGTCGTCAGTTGTTTTAGTCTGGCTAACACTGCTGACGGAAGTGGAGTTACTCCTCCGGTGACAATGGGCTTTCATTTCATATTCTCTAATTAAGTGCACTAATCTGTAAACCCACTTATCCTCATCAATTACAAAATGGTATTGTTTTTACCACATGGCTTTCATCATATACCAATGCACCAACATTTCAGCACCTACTGGCTGCCTTTCTCAAGGGTGTCAGCAGGTGGAGTATTGGTGATCCCGTGTAGATATAGATTTGTTTTAGGCAGTGCTTGTGAGATTTGCACCTAGCTGTTTAATTACATTTTTGTTTTCTCTCCATGCATTGTTATTATTTCCTCATACCCTTTTTCACATTCATTCTACTCTCCTTCTGTCTACAGAAGCGGTGAAATATATTGAGTGCTCAGCTCTTACACAAAAAGGTTTAAAGACAGTGTTTGATGAGGCAATCCGAGCAGTATTAATGCCACCACCTTCCAAACCCAGAAAGCATCAATGTACATTGCTGTGATTCACAACATTCGGTAGATGACTTGCTTTTAACCTTTATAACAAACTATGGTTTTTTTTTTCTCATTTCTTTGTGTTTTCTACATTCCATTCCAGCCATTAAATGAAAACAGTAACCAGTTTTTATTATTACTGAAAATAAAAGATTACATGTCGTACAACCTCTTTGTGTATTATTGTGTAATGATACATGTAAGTTAATAATCATTTTTAGTGTTTCCTGGTTTACCCGTGCTTTGTGAAAGTGAACATGATTTACTCTCCAACTACACTCTAGGTTTCAGGCGGAGAGAACTGGTTGTAGAAGGTGGGCCTTAATCCAAGAGGAGGAGGTGGGACGGACTTGTGGCAACCACCTCATTCAGGGGAACATGCATAGGCCACAACTCCTTGAGGAATAGAGAGACCACCTCTCTCTTCATGTGGTGCATAGGGTTCATGATGTTTGTTGGCAAATTTGAATGAGTGGGCAGACTCATGGCCTATTGAAGCTTAGTGTTGACAGGCCCCTTTCCCTTAAATCGACTACCAGTGTGTTTTTTAGAGTGAGGTAGGTTTGTGTTATTAGTGGACACAGTGTTGGTCATGCCCACTAGACTCTCCTAACTATTGGTGAGGCTTAAAGGAAGGAATTCCACAACTTTGCATTAAGAACCCCCCACCAGAACCACCTTTGAATGTTTAAATGTAGCCACATTCCAGTTGCATAGATTTCATTTAGGATTTTTATTGAATAGCTTTAAACTGCATAAATTTTTTTGTCTACAATGTTTTTCTGCTGCTTCTCCTGCTTCTTCTGCTGCTTCTCCCCTCCCAATTGCTAGTTATGATTTTGTTTCTTTTAATACGTCTACTTTTTATCATCACAGCATGCTTTCCCCCTATTTCATTTCGCATTATGTTTTATACCCAGGACATACTTGAAAACGAGAGGAATCTCAATGTATCTTTCCTGGTAAAATATTTTATAAATAAATAAATATGTTATATATTCATATGCACTTGCTTGACTTTCTTACAGATGCTTAACTTCCCTTTACTGGAGATCTATTAATGAATAGTGCATTTGTCATGTATTTGACTAATTTTTATTTCTGGTCTTATGGTGTGATGTCACTTGTAGTGTTTAACCCCTTAAGGACCAAACTTCTGGAATAAAAGGGAATCATGACATGTCATGTGTCCTTAAGGGGATAAACGCTAAAATAAATTTTCAAAAAATATTTCAAGAAAAAGTGTCCTCAAAAGGAGATTTTATTTTTTTCTGCAAAACTCAAGTTACTGGAATTAATAAAGTTGCTTCCTGGAGCAAAAATGTGTTCAGGTGGTGTATTTGGATGCCGCAATGTGTATTTCAGATTGTCATACTGCTATACTCGGTCATGTAGAACTGCCAAATTTAGGATTACACAAAGAAAGTTACTTAGAGAGACTACCTATCACTATATACCAGCAAGTGATTTGGAGAGGATGCACATATGCAAACAGAAAGTGGTTATTAGCATAGAGTCGATTTTACCTAGGTATTGGAGCATAGTTATAAAGAGAGTTAGAGTAGGTGAGGTCAGTTGACCCAATGGCTGTATTTTATTCATGTCCTACAGCCTCTAAAATATCAGTAGATTTTTTTGTGGGGAACTAGCATGGATGTGCGTGGGCCAAAATGTATAATTCAGGAGTTTGCATTGCTTGGTCCAGAGATGTGTCTGGATTTCTTAAAAAAAATATTTAATATAGAGACAGTATCATAGACAGTGATATTAAAATCTGCATCAAAAGTACAATTGCACTGTGATTAACCAATGCATACACATTGGCACATACTCTGGCATTAACCCACACCCGCACACTGCCTGTTTAAGTAGTAAATTATAGAGTTATCTACTAATTTGGTATCTTTAAATAGGATAAGCCCACATAAGTGTACCAAATTAGGCAGGTATCTACTAAACAGCTGAAAGAGCAAAACAACAAGAAAAGCTCTTTTTCTTAAATTGCCTCTTGCAGTTGCTTATTAGATATATCCTTAATTTGACACCCTTAATTATTGCAATCTCACATAACAATACCAAATTAGGGAGATGCACCTGAGGAAGATGATCACACTCTCTGTTTATCTATACAAAGAGCACTGGACACTTTTTTTGTGTTTATTTCTTTGTATTTTTTGTGAAAATTTGTGATTTATTTCACTGTGTTAACAATCGGCATTTTGTTTTTGTTTTTTTAACGTTTAGTTGCAGCGCTATAAATATTGCATATTTTTGGTCCAGAAATATATTCTAATGCAAATCTAGAAAAATATTTTTTTAAACAGGAAGTATGCAATATACATCAAATCTTAAAATGTGAATGGAATGAGGATGAGGAATGGAAAATACTTTAACTAGACAACATATAGAAAGTTAGATATTCGCTACATACTTTTGAAAGTGCATAGTTAAATGCTTTACCAGTAAGACTGCCTTGTACAGCTGTGTGTCATTTTTAAACAATGACACACACCACAGATGTCCTATGTATGGATAAATGTTTAAAATTAGTTAAAGGACCACTCTAGGCACCCAGACCACTTTAGCTTAATGAAGTGGTCTGGGTGCCAGGTCCTTCTAGGGTTAACCCATTTTTTCATAATTATAGCAGTTTCAGAGAAACTGCTATAATTATGAATGGGTTAAGCCTTCCCCCTAATCCTCTAGTGGCTGTCTCATTGACAGCCACTAGAGGCGCTTGCGTGCTTCTCACTGTGATTTTCACAGTGAAAGCACGCAAGCGTCCATAGGAAAGCATTGTAAATGCTTTCCTATGCGACGGGCTGAATGCGCGCGCAGCTCTTGCCGCGCGTGCGCATTCAGCCGGCGGGGCGTAACGGAGGCGGAGAGGAGGAGGAGAGCTCTCCGCCCAGCGCTGGAAAAAGGTAAGTTTTACCCTTTCCCCTTTCCAGAGCCGGGCGGGAGGGGGTCCCTGAGGGTGGGGGCACCCTCAGGGCACTATAGTGCCAGGAAAACGAGTATGTTTTCCTGGCACTATAGTGGTCCTTTAATCGTTTTACTATCATTTATGTGATTAAAATTATTCAATCATACATTAATATTAAATCGTTTGAGAAGTTTATCAAAAAATATTAAATTGATACCTTAGGCTTGTAAAACCACTATTTTTAATATTACAATTTTTTTTTTTTTAGGAATCGTGTCAAATTAATGGGACAGAGAAGATGTTGTATATAAATAATAAAATAATAATAATAATAGACAAGCTTTGCAAAAGAAGGCTGAAATGTGCAAATGGAATTGTATTTTGATGTAGTAATCTAGGGCTGTCCAGTGTTCAAAACTAGTTTCTAGGTATGCGATGTGCATCACATCTTCATAACATGCTGATGGAAGGAGGCTGGGGTAATGTGTATGGGAATTCCCTAACTAGACAACATCTACAGTTAAAGGGAAGAAAAATACAAAAACAGACAGTGGATATTCTCTACTTATTGTGGAAAATGAATATTTAAATGCTTTAAGGAAACAAATGCCTAGGAATGCCCTATGTAAAAAATATATATAAACATTTCCTGAGGAAAGTTCCTAGTTCAAGTAAAATATTTTTTGGGAAATCCTTGGAGTGATGAAAATTTACTACTTGGTATACAATTTAGTGCTATCGAGCACCAGGTGATAAAGACTGTAAGTAGGAGTGCAAGGCTACTATTTTTTTATATATATATGTACTGTTTTGTCCTGATGAAAGCTCCATGTGGGAGCTGAAACGTTGACTTTTTAAATGGATTGAATAAAAGTAAAATTTTATTTGAAAATCTCTATAAAGTCCTTGGAGTGCGGTAATTTCTGCTATGTCTACATGATCCTTGCCAGACCAGCACCCGGCACCACAGGATTACACCAGGAGTGCAAGTCCTCGCTATTTATAAATATATATATATATATATATATAAATATTATTATTTTTTTAAATTTATTTTTTAAGAGAGATATAGACCCAGCACAGAATCCTGAGGTATTTTCTTACTTATATCCAATTTGTTCGGGCATGATCCTAGTTACACAGTAAGCCATTTTTAAACAGTTGAACAGAAACTGTGGCATCCAAAGTCGCTTTGTTAAGCTAATAAAGAATTTTACTTCCTCATTCTCTCATTTTCCATGAAAGGCTGCAGCAGTGGTGTTGGATTAGCCAAGTGCTCACACTCTATCTTTTAATAAAGATTTGTACAGATGAGGAAGTGAATTTCCCCATTACCTGGGTGAAAGCAGAGGAAGTGGGTTTTGGGTACTCAAAGATGCTTGCATTTTATCTAAACATTTAAAAAGGATTTGACAAAAGGGATTATAACCAAATACTCCATGCTATATAACAATTAAAATAAGCTAAAGTGACTATGTCTGTTATAGAGTCTCATTAAAGGATCACTCTAGGCACCCAGACCACTTCAGCTTAATGAGGTGGTCTGCGTGCCTGGTCCAGCTAGGGTTAACCCATTTTTTCATAAACATAGCAGTTTCAGAGAAACTGCTATGTTTATGAATGGGTTAAGCCTTCCCCTATTTCCTCTAGCGGCTGTCTCATTGACAGGCGCTTGCATGCTTCTCACTGTGATTTTCACAGTGAGAGCACCCCAGCGTCCATAGGAAAGCATTATGAATGCTTTCCTAAGTGACCGGCTGAATGCGCGCGCAGCTCTTGCCACGCGTGCGCATTCAGCCGCATGGGAGGAGAAGAGGAGGCTCGGAGGAGGAGAGCTCTCCGTCCAGCGCTGGAAAAAGGTAAGTTTTAACCCCTTTCCCCTTTCCAGAGCCGGGCGGGAGGGGGACCCTGAGGGTGGGGGCACCCTCAGGGCACTATAGTGCCAGGAAAACGAGTATGTTTTCCTGGCACTATAGTGGTCCTTTAAGTAAGTTTTCAATTCAAGAGCAAGTATTTCCATGAAAACCAGTTGTTTGAAATTTGCACCGTAATCTTCTGTGTGAAAATGTATCAAAATCCAATTAGGTCACACCCTCTGCAACATCTTGATCTACTCACTTTCTACTCCTATTAACTAATTAATTTTTTGGCACAAAATGTTCCAATAAGCTATTTATTGCATATAAATTCTCCATCGTACCATGCTTTTTCCCCTTGAATGTCACTAGTGATGACTGAAGGAAATTGCAAAACTTGATGGAGGTAGCTCTGACTTTTGTCAAGCATAGAAAATAAATTAACATAATTAACAATGAATTAGTTTCAGTAAAGTTCCAACACAGCCCGTGTTAGTATTTCACCTAGATTTAATCCTTAATACAAATTTTCGTGCAGGGGTGATTTTTTTATACATTCTATACAGCTTTGTTTTAGTTTTTTTGGATACGCTTTTCAAATCAGTTAGAAATGACAAATTACAAATTATTTATCCACAAAAATTACCATAGACTTTTGTAGATCGACCATTTAAAACGTTTGTCCAAAAATATGAAATCATTTGAACAGCTTATTCAAAATTTTAAATCGGGACCAGATTGTGATAATTTCGGATGCAAACCCAAATAAAGTAAACTGAGGCTGATAGGAAGTGGAATTAATTCAGAACTATTAACACCTATTGAAAGAGTAATACAATTTTTTTCCAGAGATATAAAATTAATAAGGTGTCATGTAACACTATCTAAAAATGTTAGATTGGAAATTAATGGGAAATAAATGCCTTCATTTTTGTGATTTATTATACCCCGTTTACAGGTACATTTAGTGCTTTGATATTTTCCACAGCGTGCCAATAGGGGACATTCTGGTGAGTGTCATATTAAAATTTCTTGCTCTTTGGCAGAACGCAGTGGGGGGTAATATGGAAGGATTTTTGAAAGGGCTGCGGCCTGCGGGCATTCATGGATGCGTGGGGGGTAGAACGTGGGGAAGGCCATGGCTGGGTTTCAGGGAGCTTTGCTTCCCAGTGGGTTTACAGTGGGGTGGTCCTTCGGGCATCGGTCAGCCAGGTGTGGGTATGATCCCAAGGCTGGGTCACAGGTACACAGGACGGATCCTCTGCCAGCATGGTCTAGGGGGTGGCAGAGGGTGAGGCATCATTTAGGAGTATTCCCAAAACAGCTCGGCAGACGACGTATGTTTCCTTCATGGGCCTCCTGAGTTGTCACCTCAAGGTGGAAGGAAAGGAGAAAATCTGGCAGGGGGAATTCGTCGAAATGTTCTCCCTGTTGCCTCTGGAGGAGTTGATCAATCTGAAGGAGGACGATAAGAAGGAGGATAAGAAGGAAAAGGTGGAAAAAAAGAAGTACCAGAAGCTTCCAAAGACAAAGATAAACGCTTGGCCCTTTTTTGTTACGTAGATGGGATCTGGGAGGCGTATCGTGTCTATGGGGGCTTTGTATGGTGGCGGTAGTTTCATCAGCACCTTGCTGCTAACTCAGGTATGCAGCGGGACCAGATGGAACTGCCACTCATGATGGCTCAGAAGGCTGCACACTTTCTCGAGGGGATGGTGGAGGGGCCCAGGGATCCACATCGCCTTTGGGCAGGAAAGGTACTTGCTGGCTGTTTAACGACAGTCAATGTAAGTGGGGAGAATCATGTAAATTCCAACATGAATGCTTGTGTTGTGGCAGGGCACATTCTGTCTCCAAGTGATTCAAGCAAGCTAGGGCTAGAGCCACCTTTGGTTCAGCTGGGGCTAAGGTGGAGAACGCCAGTGAATTGCAACGCGATTCTGCCCTGGCTAAACCGATACAGTAGGTGATTGGATGCTGATTATTTGGCTGACGGGTTTGAGCACTGCTCCAGATTCTTTTTTGGCCCAGGTAGCTGCTTTTGTCCACGGGCAATCTTAACCTTTCTGGAGGTGGTTTGTGATAATTTGGACAAGGAGGCACACTTGGGCTTCATGGCAGGCCCCTTCGTGGGTGTTCCTTTGGAGGATTTGTGGGTATTTCCCCTTGACGTGGTCCCGAAATGGGAAGCCGGCAACATTCGGCTCATTCGCCACCTATCATACCCCAAGGGTGGCTCAGTCAATGATGACATTGACAAAACCTTGTCTGCTGTCTCGTAGCCCTCGTTCAACAGGGCAGTGTACAGGGTTAACTAGGCAGGCCCCGGTGCGCTGATGGTAAAGGCAGATCTATTCACCAAGAGTATCACCATCTGCTGGGGTGTTGGTTCGACGAGGCCTTTTATGTCGACCTGTGCCCATAATGGATCTCTCCATCTCAAGCACCTATTTTGAGAGGTTCAGCTCCTTTCTGGAATGGGTGGTGATGGAGGAAGCAGGTTGTAGGTTGATGATGCACTACCTCGATGACTTCCTGTGCACTGGGCCTGGGTATTGTTGTGGACCCTGCAATGGGTGGCCATTTTGTTTGGGGTACCGCTGGCGGCAAACAAAATGAAGGGCCCCTCAAAGTGCCTTACACTTTTGGGCTTGGAAATCAACTCAGTCCGGGGATCTGCAGGCTTCCGGCAACTAAACTACTCCCCCTGAGGGAGGTTGATGCACAGGTTTAGGCAGCCAGGAAGATGACGTTGAGCCAGCTTCAGTAGTTGGTGGGGCGTCTCAATTTTGGGCAGAGTCTTCATGTGTAACCTGTTGAAACCCATGGTGGGGGTCCGGTCGACACACCACCGGGTTCAGATGACACAGCCATGCGGGCCGATCTAGCAGTTTGGAACACTTTTCTGGCCATATTTAATGGAAAAGTGTTTTTTTCTGGTGGCCTCGGTATCAGCACATTCTTTGCCTGCCATTACAGAGGCTGCAAAAAAAAAGCTTTTTCATTAAACGTAGCCACAAAAGTAGAAACTTTGGGTAGTGTTGGCTTCAGGGCCTATACGGTGGACAGTGATATGTGCGGAAGAGTGGCCACGGGCGTGGCATTCCAGCCTCTTGATTAAGAACTTGTAGTTGATTCCCCTGCACATAGCTTTGTCCTTGTGGGGCTGGCAAATGCGTAATAGGAGGGTGGTTTTCTTCACAGATAACCTGGCCATAGTGCATTCAGTTAACTTTCAATTAAGGAACTGGGAACCTCAGGTATGAGGGCAGGCATCTGGGTATGCCCTCCCCAAATTGTGTTTTGGATAGGCATCTTCATGCTTTGGCAATATTTTTTTTTTGTTAAGTTATAAGTTTAAATTAATATATTGTCCGAGTTAACACACCTATTTTAGTTACAGGTTTTGTGGGACAGTGATTTTCAATAAATCGGCTGTGGCCTTTTTTTATACCCACACCAGGCATTGTGTGTTATTTATTATGGTAAGCTTACCATGAATATCAAAGGTACAGCGATCAAGACCTTATTAAACAGCTTAAAGGTACTCAGCTTATTGACCTTTGAAGGATGGAAGGCAGTATGGACCTTGTCATAAATTGAGCCTGCAACTGATATACTGCTTCTGGAGTTCTATTCCCCGGACTATCCCACCAGTTATTTTTAACATTCTAGACAACCAGGGTTAAATTC